CCCCCCCCTCCCATCACAACCTGATTGATTCCATGTTATTAAGGTAGATTGTATACGCTGCACGGAAAGCCTGACATTTTAATCAATTCTGACACGAAGTTTGGTATTGTTGTTGGTATTATGTAACACGTAACACCTTCCCCGCACTGGTAATGTCCGCCGCAGACAGATCCCCAGTTACATCTGTGTACAGACGGCGTTGTGACGAAACCATAACGGCAATGATGGGATTGAGTTTCATTGAAATCCGTTTAGAATGACAGGCCAAACCACAATCTCGATAAAATGGAACCCATTTTCTACATGAAGTGTCGCGACATTTCTGTAACCGAGCACGACTGACGAATGTTCATCACGAGAACGGTTTAAACAGACATTCATACTTTTCATCGATTTTTTGTCACGAGATACTAAAACATTTTTATAGTCAAGTATTTATATATAATTCCATAGGAGTATCACAACAGAGTCAGAGACAGTATTTTCTTTTCAAATCACTAAAGCGATAAGATTTTTCCAGAAGAACTTACCATTTTCAGAGAGGAGAAGAACATTATATTGAGGGTTGTGGTTTGTAGATTTTTGTCCCATCGGTACCGGCAGGTGGCGCTCTGAAGAGCCGGTGCCAAAGGCTCTTCCTGTTCCGTTTTTTCTGGCATATTTTTCGACTTTTCGAATATCACACTTTCAGTATCTCCATTTATTTCTGAAAACTCTTTTTCTGGAGATTTGGTATCGGATTCCACTGATGTTTCTAACTTATTGGCAACGGCTTCCGAAATCTTTTCATTAACTCCTTGGTGAAAATCCGAGAGGTCCCGGGTATCAATTCCCCCCTCTGTTGAAAAAGACAATTCTATATCAGGTATATTTTCAGTTACATCCGTTTTATCGAATGTCGTATTACTCTCCTTATCAAATGTGGCATTTTTCACCTCGTCCTCTTCTTTATCAAACGTAGAATTGTTCGCTTCCGGGTTAGAGTTGTTCGCTTCCGGATTAGCAATGTCAACACTACTTCCTTCGTTGACACTTTCTGTTAAAAAGAATGTGTCTTCACCTTCAGGATTAACTTCCGGTTCTGTTTCCAGGAAATCAATCTGGTCCACTGAAGTTCCTTCAATTGGCACAGTGTCGGTGGGCTTATCGTCTGGCTTTGGTTTCGGTAATACCGACTCACCGTCGATGGATACCAATCCAAAATGTCCGTCTTCTGTTATTGAATAACTTCTAGTGACTGGTGTCAAGGGAACTTTGACTTTTTTCGGGACAACAAATTCCTGGACAATTTCTACTTCTTCAATTCCCACGAAGAGTTCTGCTTCATTGGTTTCGTCAATAAAGCCTTCTCCTCTGGTCTGTTCTGCTGGTTTAGATTCTTCTGGATCCTTACAAACGACTTCCGCTTCTGTTCCTTCTTCCTCGCCCTTTATTATAGCACCAGTGTCAAAATTGTGGACATTGTCCTCTTCTGGTTCGCTCGTAGCTTCCGAAGGTCTACTTCCGTTCAAATCACCAGAAACAAGACTGTCAGTGCTAACCTCGGCTACAACGTCAGTTCGACCTCCATCAACATCACTTCCGTCGTTATCCTCTTTCGGAGTTTCTGGAAGATGATGTTCTTCAGAAATTTCCTGCTTTTCGAGTTTTTCTGGTGTCCCTTCGGGGCTTTCCTGCTCGTCTTTGCACTGGTTGTAGACCTTCTCCTCAGCAGGGTCTTGTTCTGTACCCGAGCCTAAAACATACACACGTCAATTATTACACGTGCTGTTCTTTTACATATTTGGTATAGAAACCAAAATACACTAGGTAATCTTACACAATTACTCAGTATGACATTCAAAAAATATATCAAAGACGTGTGACACACTATTTGCAGTCATTATTTTGAGATGGAACCAGAACCTATCCTGTAAATAGTTCAGGCTGGTTCCGTGACGCTAGTCTGTAGGGATATCATCTATCAATCCCGTGTCGGAAAAGGTCTAGGAACGTTGTTACAATAAATGGTCAGTATAAAGATCACCCACAAATAAGGTCACACGCACGAGTTATGTGGTATGTTACAAGCATTTATAGACCTATAGACCTATATACTACATACCTATGTTATTATCAAAGATAGTCAATCTTATACAATGGTATGTAAGCTATTTTGTACACAAATTCAAAACATGTACATGCTGTTTATATGGGCATGATAAACGTCACATATTTCTTGGTGAATTTGGCACAGGAGACTACTGGAATTAAAACAATAATTGTCCGCGTTAAGTTCGCTACTTATTTGCCATTGCTTTGTATGGTGTGTATTATCATATTTGGCAGACGACAGAATTGTATGCCACCCTTATTGGAAATTGATTGGATTTAAATATAGAAACTCGTAGGGTTGTACTGTCTACTAAGGGTCGAGATATGACAGGAATTATTTCCAGATATCTTATCGGTAAAACATTGTACTCGGACCGTGTCCACATGTGTAATGGAAGTGCGCAAACTTTAAATATCCTCGGGTCGTGTTTAATCTTGAAATCAGGCCAGCTAATCACCGGTGTTAATTAACAATGTGACAAGTCTCGGGCGCGAACCTCGAAGGCGCCCTCTACCGTCAGACAGAGATAGCAGACACGTGGTCAGAAACACACCGTTAATTACACTTCCAAGACTCTTGCACATTACATATATAATTATTGATATATTATTAGAAATTCGTTTTAGCTTCTTTATTTGAAATTGAATTCGTTACAAACCTTCTGGTCAGAATCGATATCCTCTGACCTGAGAGCTCAGTTTAAAATGTGAGCAGTTGATAGATAGGACTATAAGGGTCACGGGTTCAAATTCCGATCTCTCCGATCGTATTTTCCTTGTGTTTGCTAAGATAAGGAGCGTCCATACTGATTATGTATTTGTTTTGCAAAAAAATAAAATGTCTTCGTTAATGTTGTACTTTCGATAGTTTTTTTTAATTCAATGACATTAAAGTGAGTATCTTGACCATCATCCGCAGGTAGCGGGCTCCATAACATTGTCTTTAAGGATTCTTATCTTCTGTACCTGTCACGTGATATTGAGTCACATTTCTACTTCATAGTAATCAAAGTTGGTGATATTTAATGACAATTGATTTTTTTCGATTGCAGAACTTCTTGTTTTATTAAGATTGTACATGAGTGAGCTTTTTGGTATGTGACAAAATACGAGATATAACACCATTCCTCTGTACCGTATGGCTAGAGGACTGGTCAGTGGTACCTCGTGACTAGAGGACTGGCCAGTGGTACCTCGTGACTAGAGGACTGGTCAGTGGTACCTCGTGACTAGAGGACTGGCCAGTGGTACCTCGTGACTAGAGGACTGGTCAGTGGTACCTCGTGACTAGAGGACTGGTCAGTGGTACCTCGTGACTAGAGGACTGGTCAGTGGTACCTCGTGACTAGAGGACTGGTCAGTGGTACCTCGTGACTAGAGGACTGGTCAGTGGTACCTCGTGACTAGAGGACTGGTCAGTGGTACCTCGTGACTAGAGGACTGGTCAGTGGTACCTCATGACTAGATAACTGGTCAGTGATGCCTCGTGACTAGAGGACTGGTCAGTGGTACCTCGTGACTAGAGGACTGGTCAGTCGTGCCTCGTGACTAGAGGACTGGTCAGTGGTACCTCATGACTAGATAACTGGTCAGTGGTACCTCGTGACTAGAGGACTGATCAGTGGTACCTCGTGACTATAGAGGACTGGTCAGTAGTACCTCGTGACTAGAGGACTGGTCAGTCGTGCCTCGTGACTAGAGGGCTGTTCAGTGGTACCTCGTGACTAGAGGACTGGTCAGTGGTACCTCGTGATTAGAGGACTGGTCAGTGGTGCCTCGTGACTAGAGGACTGGTCAGTGGTACCTCGTGATTAGAGGACTGGTCAGTGGTACCTCGTGATTAGAGGACTGGTCAGTGGTACCTCGTGATTAGAGGACTGGTCAGTGGTGGCTCGTGACTAGAGGACTGGTCAGTGATACCTTATTGGGTGGTACTGGTATGTAAACAACACATACCTGGTGACAATATGGTCTGTAGATTTCAAGATCAGGAACAATATTATCCTATATTATTTCAGCACAGGTTAAGATACTAATTAATTGATAATACAGATTGAATGGTAGATTAAGTCAATCTTATTGCATACTTCCCATATTTCTGTGTACAGTCGTTTCCCGTCAAACTACAGACATTCCGATATACACGATAGTCATGAACAATTACCAGACATCTATCTATGATCAGATATAAATATTTATAGCTCTTTATATGTAAACATGCTGAACACAATCGTCTATAATACCCAAATATGGGAGAGATCTGTATAGAAATAACTAACAAATTTCGTCTATGGCAATGAGCCATATTATTGCATTCCTACCAAGACGCTGCTTCTAGCTGCAACAACGATAAGTCTGCTCTTCAAACAGAAACTGCATGTTACGTGGAGGAGGTGGCGATATGGTATTTCTGTGATGGATGTGAGCAATCTATATGCCGCATACCTCAACATGACATTATCTCTATCGATATAAAATAAATATACTGTATGTGTTCAGTCCAGAGATATATAAAACCATACACGTCTCTGTTCAGCTGTCTTTCAGTAGACCACGCTACAGTGACTTGACTGTGTCCACTAGTGCCGTTAATGTCCCGCTATCGTGGCCATACTTGAAAATTAATTGAAATATCTAGTTTTAAAACATAATGTCACTGTTCATGTCCACTCACACTTACCGTTGGGCTGGGCGCCCGTCATAATGTGTCCAATCAATCCGTAGGAACTAAACACACCAGTTTCACAGTCGACGTCGACCAATTTTAAGCCTTAATTGGGAATTTAAACCGTCCTGGGCTTCCGTGGTAGGCAATTATTAGAGAGAATGAACAGAATTAGCCATGTATGACAGGTATTGTTGGGGGACCATTCCAGGTGCACGGTCGAGTACCGGCGACGGACCCGTTACTTGTTATAGTAATGAAACGTTTTGTCTACCGTACAGGTATTTGCATGCTAACTAAAGGTACAAGTGTCTTCCGTCTACATAAGGCGTCCGTTCAATACCGATCAGCTACCTACAGCTGTAATCCGTATTTTGGGTGTCCCTTGAGAAATTGGCCCGTGATAATTTAATACCTGTCGGGTTGACTTAGACTCCCGAGGGATTCAGAGGTACATGTGGCCATGTGTCAGGGTAGAACGGGTAACTTGATCTATCTTTATATTCTAGTAACGAGAAAAATTGACATTACTGTCGAATATTGGATAGAGTAGATAAGAAGTATTATGTTCCTAGCGAGGGATTAGTCGTGTTTAGACTTCTCTGACAAGGTCAGCGGTCAATAGGAGGGTTTGTTATACCCCGATACACGCCGATACATACATGTAAGTATGGAGTTGTATAGCGTGGACAATCAATACCGAGTAATAAGTCCAGTATAACCAAAATAAGTATAACTAATTACGATATGGCGTGGATCGCTAAAAAATCGAAACATACATTTACAAATGAAAGCATGACTCGTGGAAACCAGCGAGCCAAGGAGCCCAACGCACTGATAGTGTCGTGTAAATAGGACGACAGCGCTACATGCGGACGATCCTAAACATGTGCACCATCTCTGAAATGCATGCTCAATCCCACCTAAATCCCAATACACGTGACCCAGACACTAAGACGCACATGCATTTCTAACATTCAAGACAAGGAAAGGACCGCGATGTGTTTTGTAAAATTTGCCCATTCCCATTGCAATTTATGGTAATAAAATATGTTTAAACCTCCCAGAACCGCATGTAAAAACAGTATCTCTCATTGAATTAGACACGTGTCTTCTTCACACGTGACTCCACTTTCAAAAATACACGTGCATCGCCAAACAAACAACCCATTATACAATACGTGCTCCTTTCCCAAGCATACGTGCACTCTCACTCCCAAACACATATGTCTCTTAATAAATCTAAATGTCCCCTGATGCACGTGAACTGATGCCGTGCATAGATGTCCTACCGTTCATTGCAGAAGCTATATGCATCAGCGTCAGCATGAACCCTCGGAGTCTGTGACGTTAAAAGTTGTAAAATAGATCCTATTCTTCCATCTGTGAATCCGTCCCTTCTGATGACAATTCCTGTCCCTCCGACGTGGAATCCTTCCTCTCCGACGTGGAATCCTTCCTCTCCGACGTGTATTTCTCGCTAGTGCAGTCGGCAGTTTCTGGACCACTGGCGACACTGTCAACGCCGACGTTCCACTGAGATCGATAGCTCTTGTTTGTAGGTAGTCTTTATTTGTTTTACTCACTGCACCCAATCAGGTGTTTGTATCATTATAATTATCGTGAATCTAAACTCCATCTATACTGGCGTCTGTCACCACCCGCTGTTCTGTGCAATCGATTGTATATATAAGAAACACTGTATATCACATCGGAATGCTTCGTTTTCTGTTGCTGTTAGTTAAGTCGGAATTCCGAAACCGCGGATTCCACAGACTTTTATATACATATCAGTTGGCAAAATCAATTTCTTATTGTTACCACGTGTAATCTCCGCCTTGCATGTCCTGCTGTTCAAAAAAATGTCCTCAGCTGAAATAGCTGCACAGCCTAAGAGTTGTAAATTGACGGATTTGTAGAGTAAATTAAATCCTTGGTCTCGCCATAAAAAAGCGTGAAATTACAGGACAAATCCCGGAGAGATGAAAGCTTGACGGTCCATCAACACCCTTTGAATTATTAAGGAGCAATGAGAGTATTGTACAATTCAGTAAAAAAATCGATTATTCTGTCCGTCTACGGTTTTAACATTTACATATGACATGTCATAAACCGGGTAGCGCACAGGGCTGAATACTATGTCTACCTGTAGCTAGTACCGAGTCACACAGGGCCCCAGTAACGAGACACATTCTGTCAATATACATACCCGGTAACCACAGAAGGTACCTGTATATTAAACGTACCTTCTAATAAAACATATTAAACCAGCAATTTAGCGATTTCTATCGAGAGTAAACACCGCCGAGTATGGCAGTGTTCGATTTGTTCTGTGTGTACACATTTTGCTTGTATTTATAGCTTTACGTAAAGTACAAAAGGTAGGATTATATTGGACTTTCCATTACTTTTTTTATTACACCTGACGGACAGGTATAATATATACCTACCATCAACAGTGGGCCAGGTATATTCTGAGTCAATATTTGACCTTCGTTTTGGAAATATCAGCAAAATACTTTCTGATTTGAGATTCGTGCATTCAATATCCTATCAGCAGCCTAACTCGACTCAACCAAGCTTGTTCAAAACGGGTAGTGAAAGCTGTTTGATAGCCCAAAACCAAGAAATGTACAACCATTTACAATACAAACACTTCTATTCAGCTTTCTTGGTGTATTGTACAGAACATTGAAAGATCACAATACATTGTTCTCATTTGAATGCAGGCATATTTGCAAGGCAAATTTAAACGCTGATCGAAAGTTAAGAGATTATATGGCATTGCAAAGCGGGATATTTACGGGGCTATCTTTTTTGCATGGTGCCAATAGGGACAGGAATATATACTGTTTTGAGTATTGACTCTGACACTGTATGATTTGTAGTCCAATAGACTGAAGATGACTATGACTCCGTAAGCTGGTAGCATTTGTTCCATGCTTTTTGATGCCACGACCTAAGAGCTCTCACGTATCAGCATCAACCAAACGATACATGCAACGCTTCAAGGCACCCCCTGTTAATGATTTGAAGATCAAGAATCGATTTCCAGTCAATTCTTCCTTCAGTTTATAGAAATAAATGACGACAGAGAAATCTGACGGCAAGAGTTCACAGATCAAACGGCAATAAATGTAATTGGTTGACCGACATTCACTAAATCATCTGCGAACATCATTTTTGACAACTTCGCTGTCAAGAAAACATGATACATATGGTTAAATAGTCTAGACATTATAATTCTCTACTGGATTTCAAGGAATTTGGGTTCCATAAGTTACATATTTTGTTTTAATTTAGTATACTAAGAAGTAACCATACTCTGATTCTATGCTATTTGCTCATTATATTTGTGTTGTGTGATAGAGTTATCTCCCTCTAGTGGTAGTGCGATAATTAACATTAGGTAACAACTCATTACAACCTAAGTGCTGTGTATTCTTGTAAACGACTGAAAGGGGTAATCAGTTATTCAACCAACTGAAAACTACCATTTATAAACGATATTTGACAGGTTTCCATTGTAGAACTCTTTTGTGGAGAAGGTGCATGTAAAAGTAAAGTACCATACATCCTTAATTAAGCGACCTAGGTTTGATTCACGTGATTGAATGCAATTCTGACACACGAACGAAGTTTAGATCTAAGTATGTCTGACAGATAATACGTGATAATCTTTATATAGACAGTATAGCACTACACATTTAAAGACACAGTAATATGATAGCGGGTGTCTGAAAATTTGTTCTTGAACCAGTTAAATTAAGTCATAAAAGTACCATACCAACACAAAGACCGAAAGGAAATCGGTCAATTATAAGAGCTGACTCTAACAAAGCACCACAAAACACATACACGGGGTAAACGATAAATCTCCCCGAGTGTAGGTTTAATGAATAGAAATATTGAATAACAAATAATACAGACATTGTGTACCTTTAATATAGACCTAAAGGCGCTGACAGGTGGGTAGTGCTTTAGTACTGTAGTACTGCTAAACATACCTGATCACCAAACAAAGCACAGAAACCAGGAACGATCAATGGTCACATGGTTTGTGTATGCTTATATTGAAGTAGATTTATGTATATAAATACGTATAATTAAATCCATAATGTTATTAAAATATAGTGATTTATTATTGAAAATGACCAATTAAAATCGAGACAAAACACTGTTACTAAACAAAAAGTGGTACATATTACTGCAAAAATGATTAACTGTTATTTTCTTTTCATTACATGATTTTTGTAAAACTTGATCAAAGACCACGGATCGAACTCGTTCACTACCTAATTGTCCGTTCTATTCCTTGTACATTGGTTTTAATTTGAGGTGCGTGTTAATGAAAGCTTTGTATAACGTGCCACATTGTCTATCCTCTCCAGACCCTGTCGCGATGGTTACCTAAGTTCGTCACTGATATGTAAACCCCTTCGAGGAGGTCTTAACTTTATTCAGATTTTACTTTCCAATAAAATAAAATTTTGCATCAACAGAAACGGAAAGTGACGAGGGTTTACGACCTTACCTGGTGACGTAGGTATAGCGTTTATTTGGATGTTCACCAACAAGTTACCTCAACATGTAATAATGCCCCTACTAAATACCCCCGGGACTAGTAGCCTCCCTTTAATCCCGAGCGGTACTTGTCTGAGTGGCGTCTCATCAATCTCTATTATAGAATCATTCACGTGAGACAAACGACGTTGTCTGTCTGGACAAGTCTAACACACGATCACAAGTTTTACTATACACGTTTACATCAAAAACGGTACGGAACCAGACATGAAAACAAACATGTTTTATATCTACAAACTGAGCATGTTATATCAAATGGTGAGTCTGGTAAACGGAAATGGTTCCAAAGAACGACTAGTAAAGCAAGCCCATGTTTGATGACAGGAATAAAGTTCGATCCAGTGACAGTAATAAAGATACATTTGATGACAAATGACACGAGTACAATGTAGTCGTAATTGATGACAATAGTAATGTCCTGTCAACATGAAAGTTGCATTCTATAGCAACAATGATGCCATATTCGACAAACTCAGTGATGTCTTATTCGACAACTATAATGATGTCATATTCACAGTGATGTCATTTTCGACAACGAGTGATGTCGTATTCGATAGCATCGTCAAATATAGTCGGGATCGCAGTCAACAAAAGACATGTTCGATGACAACAGTAATGTCGTGTTTGACAGGAACACCTAATATATTCTCGCCATCGAACACTGCTTGGCCATTACCATCGAACCCGAGTATGTTGTTGCATGGTCGATGTCAAGAGTAAGGTGTATTTGATAGCTACAGCAAAATCAAGCTATAAGGTAATGAACACGCACTGTTCGATGGTAAGACTGGCATAATCATGGTGGCCAATATTGATGACAAACTCTGACCAAGCAGAAAAAACCAGGCTTATGTGTGGCTACTACCGGGATCACTAGCATCAGGTAACGTTAGGTACATGTTACAAACCGGAAGTTGGTCCCTACGTTAAGTGGGCGTGTCATTTTTAGGCTAAACATACACGCATGTATGTACACGAAATTTCACTATAAGTATAATGACTTACCTAAATATTAATACTTGTTTTGTTGTTCAGAACAGGTGTTTCATCGCTCGTTTTCGGTAGCTGAGGAATGGGTTATACTCGCTCGAAATTTAATTAAAGTGGCACCTCCAAGATTATCATTTCACAACACAGGTGGAGTGAAATCAAGCATTTATAGTTACCCGAGTGATCAACCACATACATTTCCATATGTGTCCTGTATACATTGACTGTCTCATGTGTTATTTATGGATGGAGTACTTAGGTGTTTTTTTTTAAGTCAACTACAGATCAAACATTTCAATCCAAGCATGACGTTATCACAGTTTAAACACACGTAAAACGTTCTATAGATAAACGTTTAATAATCTTACAGCTTGGTCTCAAACGTTCATAGGACTTTTCATATCGATTTCAGAACATTCCTTTTGAATTGACTTTATAATCTATTACGATAAAAAGTGGGTTTAGGGTTGTGTTGTCCTCATTCTTACAAACCTAGTGTGGTACTCCGTGTTATAGAGCGGGCCCGACCCCGTCAGTTACACTACAACTCACTGATAACAGACAAACCGTTAGAACTTGTCCGCATGTAGGCCCGGCAACTCACACTAAACACGATGTGCAAAGTTAATTTTAAATTTCGGTCCTTGTGGTTGACTCCAAATACGTCTAGATGAATCCCCAATAATGCCAGGAGTCGGAACTACACAATATTAGCCAACATGGCCAATAAGTCGACGCATTTGCATTCCTATATAGGGTATTCCTACTTCTAAATGTATGTAGTTTGTGTACTGACATCGAATACACTAGTATGAACCCATGCTAGACCGGCTCTTCCTTCGGTAAAATAATCATTTTGTTGGCAGATACATACTGCTTTCATACGGGTCCCCTCTCCCACAGTGTTTTACACAGACAGCAATGCTTTACCTAGTCGACCATCGTAACATTTGTAAAGAAAATGTTTTTCCTTGCCGGACATTGTAACATCTACAAGAACAGTGTTTTGTATAGACAAAGCCGTAACATCCACAAAACAATGCTTTATCGAGACATTAAATGTAACTTCCTCTAGAGGTAACGTCCAACAGGACATACTGTATCGTTATTGTAACATCAAGAAGGACACGCTTCTTTTCATCACCCATGCAGGTGAGGGATCGAGAAAATAAACAGCATGTATTGTAGGAGGCGACTAATGTGGGAACCCCCTGCAGAATTTGGGATTTCCTTGGGTGTCCTCTATTGGGGGACACAAAAGTGACCAAAATAAATCTGCTGCACCCATTCCAATATTTGGGATCTTTATCTTTCTTTCTATTTCTAACTACCTTTTATTTCCTAGCGCCTTGCTTGGCAAACCTCACTTTTGGTCGTAATGTTGAATGTTCGCCCAGGTGAGGAAGGCAATGGGTTCTGTCCCCAGTCCGGGACATACCAAAGTCCTTAAAAAGGTAGTTGTTATTCCCTGCTTTACGTTCAGCATTGAGGGGAATAGCAACAACTGGTTCACTCGTTGTCAGCATAATGTGACCGGGCGGAATGCTGTGCTTAGGTGCCTTCGGCATGGTATTTCATTGAGATAGTAC